ACGATGTATGTTGGTCTACGTTCAAACATTGATTGGGCTAGTCATTAGCATTCTAGCATTCTGCTTCGCTATCTTTTGCTACGTGAATGAGGTCAATCCCGGTCAGGTCAGGACTTGTATCCAAATCTTCCACTGGGCTATTCAGACACCATTATGTATGTATCGGAATGCACATTGCTAGTTGAGATTCCACTTGCACAGCGTTGTCCATTCAGTCCTTTTTATCACATTGCGGATCCTCGGTTATGATGTACATCGGTCGTCTGAGCATGTAACAGTTGGTATCCGTGCACCGCACGTGAATCAGGACAACCTGATCTGACACGTGTGCGGGGACTAAATAGCTGATTAGTCTTTATTAATTGATTAGAGCACATTAGTTAGACCCCAAAATCATGATTTTGACCTTACTACGGAAAATCGGATTTTTTTTCTTTCTTGGATTTTGTTTTCTCGCTATTCTGTTGCAGAAAATCGCAACATCTTAAATCTCCATTTTCATTTTCTTCTGAAATTCGGAATTTCGTTGTTAAAAATCCGAAATATTTTTCTTTTCGAAAATTTCGATTTCCTGTTGCATTTTTCGTTACTTAGGAATTCGGAATATCTTCTGTTTCGAAATTCGTTTTTCTGAAAACGGTACGGAAAATCCCTCCTGCAGGTATTATTTTCCAAACTGCGAATATTCTCATCTGGGAAACTCCGAATACTTGTCATTTCTTTTCGGAATTTTTTTTTTCGCAGTTCTAGGATTCTGTTAGTCAGTTCTATAATCATTTGCAGTTTGAAGTCGAAATTTTTTCTCTCATTGATCATTTCGAACTTCAAAGGAGGCCAGGAGACCTACTAAACTTGCAAAAGTCGGGATTTTTTATTTTTCGAAATTTTTTGCAAAGTTCAAACTTTTCTTTTTTGATTAGTGGCTCCTTATCTGGGCGATTTTCCCACCCACCCTCCCCATCTATGTTGTTGCCCCCTCTGGCCTTACCTTCTCTACATATCTCCGGGTACCCCCTGCGACGGCATTGGTGAGTTGCCACGTCAGCAGGCCACATCAGCAGACTACGTCAGCAGGACACGCCAGTAGACCACGTCAGCAGGCCACATCAGCAGGCCACGTCAGCAGGCCACATCAGCAGGCCACGTCAGCAGGCCACGTCAGCGGACAGAGCAGGAATACCAAGTCAGCAGGCCCCCGACCTAGTACATGCTGTTGCGGTCACAGACAGTCGTCATGGACCAGAGGCCCGGTGAAGCAGATGAGGCCTAGCAGGCCCGGATGCTGGCTTGGAGTACCGAGACAAAGAAACGGGCCGATGACGCAGCTGCAGCAGCGAAGAAGAAGGCAAAGGATGCCGAGCAGGCACGTCTGCTGGCACTTGAACAACAGTGCCAGCATGACGAGGCAGCAACAAGGGCTGCCAATGAAGAAAGGAACCAACGTCGTGAGAAGATATTTAGCGGAGAGCAGACCTTGCTCACAACGGCAGCGGCATGGCGGACTGAGGCTGAGAATGGCAAGTTGGAGGATTGCGAAAACAAGATCGCTCTCCTCCTCTCGCATCTCACAGACCTCCTGGCAACCTGCATTACACAGCAGGAGGATATCCACAACCTCGACGACTCACTAGCTCAAGTCCAAGGCCMCCTTCAGCAGTTGGAGCAGCGACCAGTCGCCACCGCCGATGCAGGCTCTTCCAATACCTCCGATCGCCTCGAAGCATTGGAGAGATGCGCGTCGGCTCACTCCAGGGCGGCGCACAGTTACAGCAGACCGCGACTCAACAGTTGCAGCAGTGCTGTACCACCGCCAATACCTCGAGTTCGGAGCCGCGCGAGACAGCTCCAAAGTTTGACGGGCAGGAGATCTTCTGCGACTCGATCAAGATAGATCCGATTCCATGGTTCCGCAAGTTCGAGCTCACGCTGCAGCTCCACAACGTCAAAGAACACAAGCACCACGCATACTTATACTCTCGCTCAGGGGGCGTGTGCCAGGCTTGGTTGGACAACCTCTTGTCCAAGTACGGAGTGGTAGCTGCCGACTTGCACACCAAGATCAGTTGGGATGATCTGAAGGCAGCGTGGCACAAGCAGTTCTAGGTTGAGCTGCCCGAGATCAAGGCTATGGACAAGCTCATGGTCTTCGAACGAGGCACGCTGCCAAGTACCGACTGGATCGCGGAGTACCAACGCTTGACATCAGTCCCAAACATCCAGATGGGCTTCAAGGTCATCCGCCATTACTTCATCTCAAGGTCCTGTCCGACATTAAGCAATGCCCTGACTCACGTCGAGGACACCTTGACGACAACGGCGGAACTTTTTGACAAGGCCGCGCAGATCATCATTACGAACAAGGAGGCGAAGGATCTGCGTTCGTCTGCGGCAGGCCCGAGCAGGGACCAGCATCGACCAAGAGTGGCCGTGGTTGTGGCAGCAACGCCGTTTGACCAAACCAACGAGGTTGTTCTGCCAGTGAAGGAGACAGACTCGCAGCTGCCCGAGAAGGTGGCCGCCCCCGTAGAGGCCAAGGACGCGGCAAGCCGAAGACAAACACCGCATCTAGCCCTGGGCCCGGCGCAGCATCTCCAGCCCCTTGGACCCAATACGGCATCTCCGAGTTAGCATCCAAGGCGCGCACGAGATTCCACTATTGCCTATGGTGCAACAATGATCTGCATCAGACACCGGTCTGCCCATTGAAAGGCAAGGGCAAACAAGGAAACTGAGCACCGCCGAGAGTGACTCGACAACACTCTCGACGCCTCCGGAACCGGTTTCTTCACGAGTAATCGGCCTTCATTCCGAGGCGCACGCGGAAGTCGATAGTCCTCCTCTTCTACTTTCTTTTTAGGACTATGATGCCCGGCTTGTTCCTACGCTGGGTACTCAAGCTCAAGGACAAGAAGTGTGTGCAGTTTCTTCTCCGTCCGACAGCGGCGACATATCGTCTTCAAGTGGTTCATCACGGGATTTGGCGCGCGAGTTCAGCATAGAGGTATTGGACCCGCTCACGTCCGAGGACTTTGCATGGCTTCCTCTCCCGACCACAGGCCTCTTGCCGGGACCGCAATGTGCAGCACTATGCGCTCATCTCCACACTTACTTATCCTTCTATGCACCACCAACTTCGCCGACGGATGACGAAGTCGCGGTGGGGAACATCCTTGCGTATACTACCAAGGTGGCCCGCGAGTTTCACACGCAGCGATACGATGACAACAACGCACCGCTCATGTATGTCCGCATCCAGGTTGGGCAAGCGTCCAGCAGCGCTTTGTTGGATAGCGGTGCGTCTCGCAATTTCATGAACCAATCCTTTATGCAAAGGGCTGGCCTTGGCGCACAAGTTCGGAGGAAGGCAAACCCGACGCCGATCAAGTTGGCGGATGGGAAAACGCAGCAACTCCTCGACCGTTACATCGAGGCCGTACCAGTCTACTTCGCACCTCATGCATGCGAACCGGTGACATTCGATATTCTCGACACGAACTTCGACATCATTTTGGGAATGCCTTGGCTTGCAAGTGCGGATCACACGGTCAACTTCCACCGGCGGACTCTTAGCGTTCGCGACGCCTTCGGCGCGGAAGTGGCATGTACTATTCCTCTACCGCACCCTTCGATTCGGTGCCAAGTGGTGACGGCCAAATCACTCAGGGCGACTTGCGCTTACGAGCAGCCCGATGAGATCGGCCTATGTTTCCTACGGACCGTCGCGGTAGCCGACGCTTCACCCACGGACTTGTCTTCGGACCCCCGGGTGATGCGGTTGCTGGAGGAGTTCGCCGACATCTTCGAGTCACCTACCGGTGTGGTGTCGGATCGGCCGATCTCTCACGAGATCATTCTTGAGGCCGGTGTCGTGCCGTCGAAAGGTTGCATCTATTGCATGAGCGAGGAGGAGCTTGAGGTCCTCCGCTCACAACTCGACTTTGTTGGCCAAGGGTTGGATCCGCCCTAGCAGCTCGCCATATGGAGCACCAGTTCTCTTCGTCCGGAAGAAGAACAAGGATCTACGATTGTGTATCGACTACCGCAAGCTCAACGCGCAAACCGTCAAGAATGCGGGGCCTCTTCCTCGCATCGACGATCTTCTTGAGCGACTGGGCGGCGCAAAGTATTTTTCTAAGTTGGATTTGAAATCAGGATATCATCAAATCTCGATCCGGCCGAACGATCGCTACAAGTCCGCGTTCAAGACGCGGTACGGGCATTTTAAGTGGGTGGTCATGCGTTTTGGCCTCACCAACGCCCCAGCGACCTTTCAAGCGGCAATGACTAATAAGTTCCGTGCAATGTTGGACCGGTTCGTGCTGGTCTACTTTGACGATATTCTCGTCTATAGTCGGTCGTTGGAGGATCATCTTGGACATCTTCGACGAGTGTTGGAGACGCTCCACCGCGCCAAGTACAAGGCCAACCGCGACAAGTGTGAATTTGTCCGGGAAGAGTTGGAATACTTGGGCCATTTTGTCACACCAGAGGGCATCAGTCCGCTATCGGACAAGATTCAAGCCATCCAAGAGTGGTCGGAGCCTCGGAACGTCACGGATGTCCGCTCGTTCCTTGGTCTCGCCAGCTACTATCAGCGTTTCATCAAAGGCTACTCGAAGATCGCGGCCCACTTGACCAAGCTTCAATGCGAGGATCGGTCGTTTGATTTCAGAGAGGAGGCGCGGGAATCATTTTTTGCTCTCAAAGGCGCGCTATTATCTGCGGAGGTCTTGCGAATATACAACCCGCTTTTGCCTACACGCGTCACTACGGATGCGTCAGGCTATGGCATTGGTGCAGTCCTTGAGCAACATGATGGTGTGGACTGGCACCCGGTCGAGTATTTCAGCAAGAAAGTGCCCGTCGTGAATTCCATTGACGATGCACGCAAGAAGGAGCTCCTCGCCTTCGTCCACGCGCTCAAGCGGTGGCGGCACTTCCTCCTTGGTCGAAGCCAATTTCGATGGGTAACGGACAACAATCCGTTGGTCTTCTATGAGACCCAAGACACCGTCAACAGCACCATCGCTCGATGGATGGCTTTCATCGACCAGTTCGACCTCTTTCCCGATCACATTCCCGGGAAGTCGAACCGTTTTGCGGATGCTCTTTCACGACGTCCGGATCATTGTACCGCGGTCTACTCAACCTTCGAGATCGACGATGACCTCCGAAACAGCTTCATCCGCAGCTACCAAGCCGACCCCGAGTTTCGCGACAAGTACGCGAATTGCTCCTCTCCTAATCCAGCGCCTTCTCACTACCGGATCCAAGAGGGGTACTTGCTTGTCCACACGCCGGGGAAGGACCTTATTTGCGTACCGAGTGATCCTCACTTGCGTACACGGCTTCTTGGCGAGTTCCACAATGCTCCCGCCACCGGACACTTTGGAGTCAACCGCACGATTGGCCGACTTCGCCAGCGATTTTGGTGGCCCGGCCTTTTCGGCGGTGTCACACGCTATTGCGAGTCATGCGAGGTTTGTCGACGTTGCAAATCCCGCAACCATCGTCCGTACGGCGAATTACGACCATTACCGGTCCCGTTGAGGCTAAGGGAAGCGATTGCCATGGACATCACCGGCCCGTTCCCCAAGCACAAAACCGGAGTGGATGGGATTCTCACGGTGGTCGACCGACTCACCAAGTTCGCCATGTTCTTGCCTTGTCGCTATCATGCCAAGGCACCGGAGTTGGCCGAGGTTCTTTACGCCGGTTGGATTCGAACCAAGGGTTACCCCAAGGAGATCGTCTGCGACCGCGACACCCGGTTCATGTCCGATTTTTGGTTGGCGCTCATCAAGCGATGGGGCTCATCTCTCAAGCCCAGTTCATCTCTCCACCCTCAGACCGATGGCCAGACGGAGAGGGCGCATCAAACCGCACGGGTACTCCTTCGCACCCTCATCCACCCCGACCATAAGGATTAGGTTGAGCGGCTGCCGGATGTCGAGTTGGCCTACAACTCCTCTATCCACCCGGCTATCGGGATGTCGCCCTTTGAGTTCGAGCACGGCTTGCCGGCCACTTCACTGTTGGACATTATTACTCCACGAACGGCCGAGAGCAACGACCATCTTCTTTTCTTGCGTCGGATGCAAGAGCTTCTTGTCAACGCACACGACCAGATGGCCAAGACGCAGCAAAGCATGAGCCAGCAGGCCAATCGACAACGTCTTCCTTGCCCATTCCGCGCCGGCGACCTCGTGTGGGTTTCCGCAGCGGAATTCAGCCTTGAACAAGACATCTCTCGCAA